AAAAACATCTTGTCTGAATCAGGAGAGAAATTTGCAGAGATCAAGCACTGTTTACAAGCCAAAACAGCTGGGAACAAATATGTGGGTGGATTTTGATGTGAGAGACAACATGAGATGAACTTTTGCACTGGAGGAAGTGAGGAAGTGTCCAGAACTGACAGTTTAAAGTCGTTTTTTTTTTTTTCAGCTGTTTGGACTCTCATTCTGACGGCACCCATTCACTGCAGAGCATCCATTGGTGAGCAAGTGATGGAATACTACATTTCTCCAAATCAGTTGCCATGAAGAAACAAACTCATCTACATCTGGAGGAAGTGAGGAAGTGTCCAGAACTGACAGTTTAAAGTCGTTTTTTTTTTTTTCAGCTGTTTGGACTCTCATTCTGACGGCACCCATTCTCCGCAGAGCATCCACTGGTGAGACAGTGATGTAATGCTACATTTCTCCAAATCAGTTCCCATGAAGAAACAAACTCATCTACATCTCAGATGATCTGAGGGCGAGTAAATTCAGCAAATATTCCATTTTTGGGAGAATTATTCCTTTAACATGCATGCATGCATGCATACAAAACAACACAGCAACTGTCTTATGGACACACTGCTATAAACATGACAGCTAGTTTTAACATGCAGATGCACCCACTGCATCACAGAAAATCAGTATTTACTGATAAAAGAATAAAACACCTCATGTTGATCTGCTGCTTGCATGCATTTACAGGATGCATCTCTGTCTGTGCAAGCAAGTCAGCGAACGCGTGTGTTTTTCTGAATCCGTGCACAAACTCCTGCATCTCTCTTTATGAAATATACCTGTGGCTTTGGCTTTGCGTGCGTTCTTCAGGTTTTTGATCCATGCTGATACTGTCCTCTGATCCGAGCGCATTATTTATCATAATTGATAAACAGCTGACCGGCTCATCCGGGTTCTGCTGCTACGGATTCCATAATACGTCGGTGACTCACTGCTGCCATCTAACAACCTGGAAGAAGAAGTGATGCTGTTATAGCCTACATCAGAAAAGATACATGTTATGGATGTAGACAGACAGAGCCAAATGAATGCCAGACAGACCGATCGTTGTGTATGTATGTGTGATAAACAAGTCTTCAAACATCTAAAAATTACTAAAGATAAAGTTTAGGGTGACCATACGTCCTCTTTTTCTCTAAATTGCGTCGGGTTTGACTTTGTTTTCGTGTTGTTTTCATACTTGAAGAAGGTAATGACTGACAAGTAGTTTGACCAATAGCGTGCAGGCATTATACATAATCGACCAATCATGGCGTGCCTAACTAACCCTAAATAAAGCATATATATATAATTTTATATTTATTTATTTTTATTATCCGATACCTAAAACCTTCAGTAAAGGCGTGTTTAAAAAAAAAAAAATTATATGACACATGTAATTTCTAGATGAGATGTTCATAGAAGTCATAAAACAAAGAAAACAAAACTGATTCATCAGCTGCTGTGCTCAGTCGACCAATCATGGCGTGCCTAACTAACCCTAAATAAAGCATATATATATATAATTTTATATTTATTTATTTTTATTATCCGATACCTAAAACCTTTCTAGATGAGATGTTCATAGAAGTCATAAAACAAAGAAAACAAAACTGATTCATCAGCTGCTGTGCTGGAGTGCTTCTGTTGACCAATCACACAATTAGCAGACCATTGAAATGAGGAGACTCACAAGACCATCAGGTCAGCAGCATACCTTTGCAAACGTGGGACAAAAAATGACTGGCCCCAAAACAATAGAGTCATCCAAGCAGAACCTCTGCTGAGCCAAGAGATACAGAACTCTGAATGAAACGCAGCCAAGAGCCACAGGTTACTGCGTACAGTCACTCTAACACGCAAGAACACAAAACCTGAGAATTTACAGTAAATATGGCTGCACATTCAGTTTATGATTTCAGCATGGACACCCTGGAGGGAAAGGCCGCTCCACTCAGCATCTTCAGAGGAAAAGTTCTTCTCATCGTGAATGTGGCACCCTTCTGAGGGTCCACCATTGAAGAGGTAACTGTGACTAAAGCTGGAACTTTTTCAACAAACCATTTTATTTAACGTGGAATAACTGTCCATTAGAAACCTTTATATAAAGCAATACTTGTATTAAAATAAATAAAATAATAAGTGCTATGTAATATGTGAATAATCTGTACAGTATCGCAGGATGAATGCACTCATGGACATGTATGGAGGTCTGCGCTTCACTGTGCTTGGCTTCTCCTGCAATCAGTTTGGTCTACAGACACCTGGTAAAACCTTTCACCTCTTCATTGTTCATATAGATGAGATATTAGAATCTAGGGTTGCATATATTTATTAAATAAGGGAGACTGGGGCTAGTTGTCACATGGGAAGCTGTCACATCTGAATGATGGTTTAAAAAAACATTTTATTATATATACTTTCATTCAGTAAGGATGCATTACACTTCATTAAACACAAAATATTTCTATTTCAAATAAATGTTGTTCTTTTAAACTTCTATTCATCAAAGAGTCCTTAATAAATAAATAAATGTATCACAGTTCCACAAAAATATTCAGCAGCACAAGTGTTTTCAACATTGCTAATAATCAGAAATGTTTCTTGAGCAGCAAATCAGCATATTAGAATGATTTCTGAAGATCATGTGACACTGAAGACTGCAGTAATGATGCTGAAAATTAAACTTTGATCACAGAAATAAATTACTTTTTAAAATGCATTGAACTAGAAAAGAGTTATTTGAAATTGCAATAATATTTCACAATATTACTGCTTTTACTGTATTTTTGATCAAATATCAGAAGAGCAGGAAAGCAGAAGAGACTTTAAATTGCTTTAAAATTTGAAGACTGTCAGTAATAAATCCACTACTCTTCCCAGAGGAGATCCATGAAACCCTGAATGCTTTGCAGTATGTGAGACCAGGACGAGGCTTCCTCCCAAAGCTCCCCATCTTCAGATGAACATCCTCTATACGCCTACCTGAAGGTATACAGAACAGGCCACAGATTGGAAATGATCATTTCTATTTAGAACTTAGACTTTTCTGCTGCGACCTTGTTCTTCTAGGAAACTCTGCCGTTTGTTAACCCAGTCATTGGAGACATCAGGAAGCTCTACTGGTCTCCCATTAAAGCCAATGACATCTGACGGAACTTTGAGAAGTTTCTCATCACCGCAGACGGAGTTCTCTACAAAAGGTGCCTAATTCAGAGTAATCTGCATTTCGTGTCCTACACCCTACACAAATATGGTAGGGTTCAACAGAATGCCATGGTTGACCAGTCAGAGTGAAGTATTTCATAAAGCAATGGGATAAATGAATACAATTAGCATCTGTAACTCTGCTGAGTTGTCTGTTTCAGGTATGATCCTCATTGTCCGTTTGAAGAGGTGGAGCGGGACATTGCAACGCTTCTGCAGGGAAGACATTTATCATAACCCATCCAACAGCAGCTCTCTGATTATGATTCAGCTCTGGATTCATTCAGATTCAACTGCTTCCTCTTTCCTAGATCCATTTAATGTGATTGATTGATTCAATCAGTCTGTCATGTTTGAGTGAATCTCACGAAACATGTCATGAAACGTATTTCACTTCAAAATCAATTGAAAAAATAAGGATAGCTGTATTATTTTTATTGTAGTATCATTATTACCTTGTGCTTTCTGACTTCATTTTCATGACAATTATCAACATTTCCCCCAAATTCTCATTGTTGTAAATTATATTTTATTTAAACTGTTAAGAATTTATACATTGTGGTGTTATTTGTTCTATTTATGCTGCTGTAAAAAAAAAAAAAAACGGAAACATTTGGCAGAATGTGTGTAGTTGTCATAAAAATAAATTCAACAACAATTTTACTAGTCTTAAAATAGACATGTTTAAAAATAATTTATAACTTTTTATCTTTTATTGTAATTTCATAAAAAATGTATTATCTATTTATCTTTTATTGTAATTTCATAAAAAAATGATACATTATTTAAATAGTAAAAAATGTATACATTGTGGTAATATTTGTTATATTTATGCAAATTTAATTAAAAATTTTTTTTTGGCAGAATATGTGTAATTGTCATCAAAATAAATGTCAAAAAATTATAGTCCTAAAATAGGTTTCATTTTCTTTTTTAAAATTGCAATTAAGTTTCAAATTTATTCTTTTGTTTTTGGGGTGAAATATAACTTGAAATATAATATTTTTTATGTTTCGTGAGATGCATCCCTCCACATCCAGACTTTTAAAATGTCTGAATTCTGCACAGAATTCGAAATTGTAAACCTCTGATAATTCCATCTGTTCAGCTGCATTATGGGTCAACAGAAAGGCTTTAGGTTGTGATTCAGGACAATTTTTTTCTCTGAAGCACCTCTTCTTCAGTGCGGCGACACAGTGGCGATCCCTCAGGAAAAGCCGTGTGGCAGCTGAGCTGGATCTGATGGGGAAGAGTGGATCTGATCTTTAGTGCATTCACTCAGATCTGAGACCAGAGACCCGCAGAACACTGAGACCATGATAACTGCAGGAACAGCAAAGATGTTTTTAACTCTACAGGTGTACTTCTGCTTTATTCTGAAAAATTCATTCATATAGCACAGTTAAATCAAGTTTCAATGTGAAACTAATATAAATGATTAAATTGAGGCCTGTCCAATAGCAAAAATAAATAAATAAATTAATTAATTTAAATTAAGCTTTAAAATATTAAAATAAATAAATATATATAAATGTATTTATTGAAAATATTTTAAATATTCTGACATTATTTTCAATTTCTCACTCAATCAATCAATCAATCAATCAATCAATCAATCAACAGCATTGATAGCAAAAATAAATAAATTAATTAATTAATTTAAAATTAAGCTTTAAAATATTAAAATAAATAAATATATATAAATGTATTTATTTAAAATATTTTAAATATTCTGACATTATTTTCAATTTCTCACTTCAATCAATCAAAATCAATCAATCAATCAATCAATCAATCAATTAATCAACAGCTATTCATTATACCATTATAATTAAATGAATGAAGGAATGGTAATAAAATGCACATATACTTTTAGGTGAACTATTCATTTGAGATAAAAATCACATTCTGTATTTTTTTACACATTATATATGTTTAATTTAGGATCATTAATGTTTTCTGCAGTATTTTCATATATCAAATTAGCCAGACTGATTAAATAGAATCTTAATTATGAACTCTAAATAAATTAGAAAAGGTGAATAAAAAAATAAAAATAATAATTTTAGGAGAACTTTTCCTTGAAGAGATGAAATCCCATTCTGAGTTTTGAGGTCATGGCATATATTCTCCACTAGATGCCAGTGTTGTACAGAGGCCAGACTACAGCACTGCTTTAAACAGTTTAACTAACAGATTCATTTATTTTAAACAGTAAGAAAACAATAGAGATGTGCTTCTCAAAACAGAACAGAAAATCGAATAGCATTTATAATAATTAGAAGTATATCTTTAAATTGTGTAGCAGCTGCTGCAAGTGTGTAGAATACAGTCATTCTCTTAATTATAGACTGTAAAATACAGTTACACATGTGTGATTACAGACTGGAGAACTCATACTACATGTGAAGCATGAAATCTGCTTTGTGGCTTTTGCTCGGGCCGCTGCTCTCCGCAGAGACAGACGCCTGATTTCCTGCTTTCTTAATTGCATCTGACTGTCGATTTGAGCCGCTTATAATGAGCTGCTCACTAAAGCACATGTTTTGGATGTTTCTGCTGTCACTACAGGAGCATTTGCATGTTTCTGGCAGGGAACTGTGTGGAATTACATTAAATGTACAGTAATTGTTCTCTTTGGTGGAATATCTCAATTGAACTGAAACGGCTGTAATTGCTTCATATGCCATTATACAGGTCA